AGATATGAAAAATTGTGCTGTATACATGTATAAGAATTGTAATGCATTCCAATGTCATATAAATTTTTAAAAAATAATAAAAAATAACTAAATGAAAAAAGAAATAGAGTTTGTTCATCTTGTTATGGTTTGGCTATGAGGTATCCCCCCAAAACCTTATGTTTGAGGTAATGAAGGAATATTCAGAGGTAAAATGATTAGATTATGAAAGCATACTCTTATCATTGGAATGGATTGCTGGATAGTAACTATAGATTGGGGCATGGCTGGAGGAAGTAGGTCACTGGGGTAACCACTGGGGGTGTGCCCTTAGGAATTACTTGTCTTGTCCAGGACTCCTCTTCTCAGTCTCTCTGCTTCCTGGATATCCTGACCTGAGCAGTTTTCCTTTGGGCCCAGAGCAATGACTTCAGCTGACCTTGGATGGGACCTCTGAAGCCGTGAGCCCATATAAACTTTTCCTCTTCTAAATTGTTCTTGTCAGGTATTTGATCACAGCAATGTAAAACTAACACAATCTCTAATCTCAAAGTCTGAAGTGTTCCAAAAATCCAAGACTTTTTGCATGCCAGCATAAATCAAAAGGTTTTGGATTTTGGAGCATTTCAGATTTTGGATTTCCAGATTAGGGATGCTCAACTCTTAAAGGCCATGCAAATATTCCAAATTCTGCCCCCCCCCAAAAAAAAACCCAACCCCAAACTCTCAAAAACAACTCTGAAATTTGAAACACTACTGGCCCCAAGCATTTTGGATAAAGGGTACTCAATCTGTAATTATCACTGTCTTCAAACACTTTGTAACTGGATGCAAAATGGGATGCTTTCTTTTCTCATTTCAAATGAAACTTTGGAACTCAGAACAATCTGTATTATATTCTAAACAACCCTAAAGTGGTGACCAAAGTGATCTAGTGATCATCTATCCTTAGTAGCTTATAAGAGAGAAGGTGAGGTCTCACTAGAAGAGAACAGTACATCCATGCACCTGTTCCCCTTCTTCTTAACAAAGGCTTATTAATAGAGATATGCACATATTGCAGCTGGTGGATGACTGTCTAGAATTACACCTTACTTCATGTCCACTTGTTCAGTTGCACTCCTAACAATCTTAGTCACAAAAGGAAAACTGGCACCAGACTAACTGGGCCTAGTTTCTTTAATCACCCTTTGAGCCATACTTGGCTTATGATTATATTCCTTCCTAGTACTACTCATTCTTGGATAGGCACATATATAAAGTATATATAGTTTTTTTTCTGTTTGGTTATGTCTTTAAAAATTAAAAAAACCATCGGTGGAATGTGATAATACAGTTGTGAAATGCATTTTTTTCATACCCATACATTGAAATAGTCCTCACCTTCTGCATCTTTGAGTTCATTATTTTATTTTTTAGCCACATAAAATATCAAAGGAATTTCACTCATATTTGTTTTCTGTAAAAAATAGTCCCAAACTGGATTATTTTCTGATATTAGTCATTTACCTTTAAAAATAGTGATTTTGTCTTTATCAGGTGACATCTTCTGTGCTATTTTTCTCTGGCCCACATACACTATAAGTTATTTCTCTTTGTAATCTGGGACTCTGCTGTAGGATGCAGTCAAATCAGTATTTCCTTCTAAATATTCTTATAGTTGTTGATGAACCTTTTTTAAAAATTTATTTACATGTGGTGCTGAGAATCGAACCTAGTGCCTCACACATGCTAAGCAAGTGCTCTACCACTGAGCTACAACCCAAGCCCCTAAATCAGTACTTCTGTGGTTCATTTTGTGTGTGTGTCTGTGTGTGTGTGTATCTGTGTATGTATGTATGTGTGAATATGGAGCTAAAAAAAACCCTCATGCATGATTTAATCCTTGTAGTTATGATCTATTTACAGTTCCTGTCAGGGATGTCTTCAGATCCAGCAGATGAAATATGCTATTCACTTACTCCTAGTCTTTATCATTTTCTCACCAAAATACCCCTCTACAGTATTCTTTAAGTGGAAAACACTAAATGTGAACTCAGTATCATGACATGGAATATAGTGATAACAAACAAGTATGAATCTAAAATGTTTGGGGAGTTATTAAAACTGTACCTTGAGTTAGTGGTGTGCCCTGTGGCTTGGTATATTTTTGATCAAAACTGTCCAAATGGTGTTAACCTTGAATTTTTGCTGTGATGTTTTGTGTTGCTATGTTTTATCTACAAAGGGGCAGCATCATTACTTTCAGTGTCTTCCATCTTTAATATGGGTGCATTAGGTAGAGAAGGAAAGGTTTTATAACTTTAAATAACAATATTCATCATCTGATAATGATTCTAGATATGATAGTGATGATTACTAGGAGATGTTTTAAGAGCATTTCCTATAATGGATGAACCTGTCTGCAAGCATAAACCTCCTCATTTGTTAGAGTAGTATTTATTGTAAGGACCATATGGTTTAGTCTTTCCATTAACTCTGCTAATAAATCAAGTTAGTAAAGTCAAGTAACAGTAGGTTCCATGAAGCAGGTTTTGACTTGGGAGAAAGATACATTTTTAAATGACTTATTTTGATTTACTGATGAAGACATTTAAGTTAAATCATGTTACAGGTAGCCTTCTCCAAGCTTTAGAAATCATTCTGTATTATGATGAGGGTTGAAGGGCCATGGAATTGCTTTTTTCATGTAAAACTTCATCAGAAAATAACTGCCTAACCAGGGAATTAAATAAAAATAAAAAGCACCTCAGAGTTTCATCTGGATTGGAGAGGGAAGCCCAGAGAACTCTATCACCAGTGCCACCGGCAGCTTCAGGAGGAGGCACCATTGTCACAGCTGGCCTCAGTCATCATCAAGTCCTAAATCATGAGCATCAAGGCTGAGATACTCAGTGTGGCACCATGCGCAGAGGGAATGGCAGCCCATAGGAGACAGGAAGGTCATTGCAGTGAAAGTTTAGGAACAGTAAAATGCTTCAATATAAGAAACAGGTATGTTTCCACACACAGGAATGGCAACAAACTTGATGTATTTCTACAATAGATTGCCACAAAGAAGAAGAACCCCCAAGTAGCACCTCCATAATATAGAGGATAGAGAATCTGTGGAGTTTGATGTTGTAGAAGGAGAAAAGGGAGCATAGGCAGCAAAGATTGCAGGCCCTGGTGGAGTTCCAGTGCTAGGCAATAAATATGCAGCACACTGTAATCACTGCAGATATCATTATCCTAAGTACATGTATGAAGACATGAATTGGTGTGAACATACTTTATATAAAGAGACATGAAAAATTGTTCTATATGTGTAATAAGAATTGTGATGCATTCTGCTGTCATGTATTTAAAAAATAAAACCAATAAAAATAAATTGTTAATCTGCTTAGGTTGAGATTATTAAGAACCTCATTTTAAGTCTGGAATAAAACCTTCAAGACTGATTTTTTTTTTTCACAAAAAGCAACAAATTACAAGCATCTGTTAATAAAGGTCTTTAATAATAATAATGCAATACAGAAACATTTTGGTTTAAAGGACTGCTGTGTTTCTCTAGATTTTATATATGATTTGCTATTCAACAATGTCTCGTAAGTTTATATTTGTCTTGCTGATAATAGATATGATAAAGCAAATACACTATGTAAAATGTTCTCATTTTCTGTAACAAAGTGCCTGCAATAATTAAGAAAAGGAAAGGTTTATTTTATCTCAGTTTTGGAAGTTACAGTCCATGACCTGCCCTGTTGCTTGGGTCTGTGGCAGCACCTCTTGGTGGGAATGTGTGGTGGAGCAACCCATTCATCTTGTGACTGGGAATGAAAAAAGGAAGATGAAAGTTTTGGGGTCTCATTATTTGCCTCAAGGACACACCTTCAGTGGTGTAAGACCTCCCATCATGCCTCACCTCTTGAAGGTTTCCACCAAGCTGAGGACTAATCCTTTAACAAATAGGCCTTTGGGAGACATTCAAGATTGAAACTATTACCCATAGAACATAGTAAGAAGTTCTTTCTTTTTCTGATATAACTTTCTCCATTAATGGCAAATGATATGAGAGATCATTTTTACCATTATGTATTTTAATATTGTTAGCCAAAGAACTGAATTTAGAAGTCTGAAATTTCCCTCCTAAGAGAAAATTATAGCAAAGTGTCTAAGAGTCATTTATGGTTTTTTGGGTCCCCCTCCCCCGACATTTTAATCATTTTTGCTTAGGTCTGTTTGACTCATGTGTAGGACCAGGGGAGCAGCACTCCTTCCTTATTCATAGAATTGAATGCTTATACATGATTTTGCTGTTTTATTTTTCCTAGTGAGAAAGCCCTTGAGGGAATGAGGCTTAAATACTTGCAGCTGATTATCTTAGCTGTGTCATAGCCACAGCCCCAATAAGCCAGCTCTCCAGCCCCTGAATCATGACTGCTCAAATTTATACTGCAGCATTTAGCTTCCCAAGGGGTGTAATTACTTTCTCCATGATTTCTAGTGTTTGAAATGACCTAATCAAAAGCCTTCACCCCTGCTTTCCTCTGGTGTGTGGCAAAGCAAGCTGCATTTATAGCAACTGGAAATTCCAGCAGCCTGGTTCTTGCTGGCAGATGGCAGCAGGACTGGCTTGAGGGAGGCTTCTGGGAAAAATCAAGGGCTCAGCAGTTCTGTCTTGTGCTGTCCTGGGCAGAAAAAAACTTGACTACTTATCATCCCATCCTCCTCCACCATAAGCCTTAGAAATGAGACATGACCCAGTGTGCACACTGCTCAGCGTGCCATAATAACCACCAAAGGTACCATTCTACCTTGTCCTTCTGGTGGCTGAGGGACTTGAATTAGACCAGAACAGATGATGCTTAACCACTTCTGAAGGACCATGCATTTAGTCACTCCTAAAATTTACACCTTAGACCTGGTTTCTAAGATTTTCTTTGTGTTTTTTACTTGTTGAAAATCGGTGGTAGCATTATGGCCATGCTCTTCATATGCTTCCTCAGGCCTGATGGATTTTTTTTCTCACTCTATTTCAGGACTCATTGTCGGGGTGATCTTGAGATATGGCACCCCTGCCACCAGTGGCCGTGACAAGTCACTCAGCTGTACTCAGGAAGACAGGGCCTTCAGCACCTTATTAGTGAATGTCAGTGGGAAGTTCTTTGAATACACTCTGAAAGGAGAAATCAGCCCTGGCAAGATCAACAGTGTAGAACAGAACGACATGCTGCGGAAGGTGAGCTGGCATATGGTTATCTGGTTGTTGATTCCTTGGCTCCATCTTGACCTTATGGAAATCCTTCCAAACTCCTGGAATATCAACATTCCTGGTTCTCAGTTTTGCCAGGAGGCTTTTGGGCCATTACGAGAAGATAAGAACCTTATTTTACTCATACCTTTCAGATTTGTGGATGACCTCCTGGGCTTGTTAGGATCTGTTGTAGATGTGGGCCCCTGATTATGCAGTGAGTTTGTATATTCACATTTATTTTCTCCAACTGCCATTTCTTCCTTACTATTTTTTCTTATCCTTGTGGTTAAGAGATGAGATTGTTTCTTTCTTAAAATAACATTGATTTCATTTAAACTTATTTATTCAGAATTCAGAAATGTGATTCTTAGTTTTTTTGTGGTTCTTTTCCCATAGTCTGCAAATATTTGAGGGCTTACTCTCATTGAAGACTGATGCCAAAGGCCCAAAGAATATTTAAGGGAAGAAGAACTTGTTGTCTTAGAATTTGAGTCTAAGCATTTTTTCCTTTGATATCAGAGTAATAAAAATATTTCACAGGAAAAAATATTGTGTCTTTTCATGTGGGTGATTTCAAAGATAAATGTGATCTATACTTATTGACACATATTCCATTGCCTTGGAGACTAGGGCTTATCATTAGACAGACTTCTGTATAGCAGGTCAGGGGAATCCAGGTTGTGGAAAGCCCCTTTTAATGTAGAAAAAGCTAATATGTATAATGACCTGCATTATACACAGGTGTGCTCCAAAAATTAAATTCTTGTTCTTCAAATATATTGTTCCTTAGAGCAAATTATTCTCTATCTGGAATATTAATTATGACCATCTTCTCTCTGTCCCTAATGGCAGTACTGTTGTGCTCTTTGCTCTCATTTCATAATAAAGCATGGAATTTCCATTAACATTGTGAAACTAGAAGCAACTGAATGTATATACCATGTGTATATACCATGCTAATCACTGTTTTGAAATGACAGCATGAATCCTTCATATTGGATTGCATAGAATAGGGGAAAACAAGGAAATGATACCCACTTATTTTCACCTTTTAGGTTGTGATAGAAGATGAAGCTGACTTCTGCTCTTTTTATCTTAAAAACATTTATTCAAATCTCTTCTTTTTGAAATTCTGCTACCAGAGCAAAGGTGGGAAAACAAACAAGGTAGAGATAATTATTGCTAGTTGAGGGCAGATCAGGCATATTAAGGCAATGAGGTTGGTGTGAAGAACATTGAACTGTGATAAGAAAATCCTTGTGCTTGTGGGTACATTATTTGGTTTTTTGATATCCATCAAGTCTGACTATTTATGGGCCCAGGTTCCTCATTGGGTAGGTACTGCCCAAGATTTACCCCCACTCTGACATTCCCTCTTTTGTAAATTATTCTTATTTTTAGCAAGAAGATAGAATAAATATAACTTGCAAGAATCACTCTTGTTTTAATTAGGCTGATTAACATCTCCAGTTTCTAAAGAGAAAAGCTAATTTTTAATAATTAGAATGAAGATTTAAAATAATTAATTATAATAAAAGCTGATTAATCCACCCACATGAACAAATTCTTTAAAAAGGTTAGTGTGTTTTTAAGATATTTAATTCTTTTTGGTATGTGGTTAAGACATTGCTGTCTAGAAGTTTCAGAGTGATTTCCTTAAATAAGCCTTACAGGTAGTTTCATCCCATTGGAGTTACTGAATTTATGTTGATGTTCAGGAAGCTACTAAACTCACTAATGACTTTGATCTAGGCCACATCAAGTATTACAGAAGGCTGATCACTCAAGAGACTTAAATTCAGTAGAATTATATCTATAAAGGATTACATGAGAGGATCCAGAGAGTTAATAATCATGACAATATTTTTAATGCAGTTAAGACATAATAAAGATGATAAAAATCAAGATGTTTTCATTTATTGTGGAAAAACATTGGCCCACAGCTCTCTGTGAGTTCTTAACATTGAATTGAACCGTTATGTCTTAACATGTGTTAAAACAACACACGGAGAGGGCCTGGGGATGTGGCTCAAGCGGTAGCGTGCTTGCTCGCCTGGCATGCGTGCGGCCCAGGTTCGATCCTCAGCACCACATATAAACAAAGATGTTGTGTCCGCCGAAAACTAAAAAATAAAAAAAAATATTAAAAAACACATGAAGATCATACGTCAGAAGTGCTGTGGGGAGAATATGCCAGTCCACAAGGAAGACATGATTTTTCTGCTGGGATTAGTCCAAGATTTGTCACACTGATGTTATTTACACCAAATGTTCAAATTCAGTCGTGACTTCAATATTGAGCAAATAATATAGCACTAGTTGGCATTAAACTAAAGGTTGACTTTTTTTTTTTTTAAACTTTCAGGTAACATTTGATCCAGAGGTATTTTTCAACATTCTCCTGCCTCCAATTATTTTTCATGCTGGGTACAGTTTAAAGAAGGTAAGAAGGTTTGCTACTAATGTTTTAAGGCATATGAATCTCTGTGTTAATTTACCTGCATAGTTTTCCAGTTTTTCCCTTCTCTCAGATTCCTTATTACTGTCTTCTGCACCCACTCAGAGACTATAGGTGACTCATGATCAGTGATTCATTTGTGTTTCAAAATCTAGAACTTTTCTATACTTCCAGTATGAAAGTAACTTGGTGCAGCTATTCTGGAAAACAAAGTAGGAGTTACCTATAAAACTAAAGTTGAATTTGCCATAAGACCCAGCAATTCCATTGCTTAGGGTTTATCTCAGAGAAAGGAAAACTTATATTTACACAAAACCTGTACCTGACTGTTCATTCTACCTTACTTATAATAGACAAAAAAACTGGAAATAACCAAAATGTTCTAAGTAGGGGAATAGCTGAACAAACTGTGGTGCATCTATACCATGGAACCGTACTCAGCAATAAGATCAAACAAACAATTAATACTGATACCCAGTGTATCAGTATCAGTATCACTGGGTGTCAGTATTGATACTGTGATATTGGTACTGTGTATCAGTATCAATAGGTTTTTCTTGATCATTTTGGATGGACCAAGAAGTCATTATTAAAATCAGCCTGAAAAGATTACATACTCTATGATTTTATTTATATAGCATTCTAGAAATGACAAAATTATAGGATTGGAGAACAAATTAGTGGTTGCCACATATTAGGGATGGTGGGAGGGTCAGGGTTGGGTGAGTATAAAAGGATACCATAAGGGACAGCTTTGTGATATGGAAAAATTCTGTATCTTTTAAAAAATATTTTTAGATGTTGATGGATCTTTATTTTATTCATTTTATTTATTTATGGTGCTGAGAATCAAACCCAGTGCCTCATACATGCTAGGCAAGCTCTCTACCATTGAGCCACAACTCCAATCCCATAATTCTGTATCTTAAACAATGTCTTTTTTTGTGGTGCCAGGGATCAGTCCCAGGACCTCATGCATACTAGGGAATCACTCTACCACTGAGCTACGTCTTCAGCCAAGTATTGTATCTTGATTGTGCTAGTAGTTGTGCATATCTGCACATGTGATAAAATGACATTGAACTATGCACATGCACTGTACCCATGTCGTTTTCTGTGTTTTCATATTTGCCTGTAATTATATAAGATATAACCGGTGGAGGAAACTGGGTGAAGAGTACAGGGGACTTATCTGTACTGTCTTTGCAACTTCAGTGAATCTATAATTTTTCTAATTTTTTTCTGCACTAGGGATGGAACCCAGAGGTTCTGTACCACTGACATACATCCTCAGCCCTGTTTAGTTTTTACTTTGATATGGGGTCTCACCAAGTTGCAGGCTGGTTTTAAACTTGAGATCCTTCTGCCTCAGCTACCTGCTTCAGAGTTGTTGGGATGACAGGCATACACCACCACACTGGCTACCAAAATAAAAAATTTTAAAGAACATAGAATCATTATTATTGAGGGTTATTGTGTTTGATACCAATATTAGACCTAAGCCTCAAGTTATTTAAGATACTAAAAGTGTGGGTGGCTCTTTCCCTCTTCCTTTGATGGAATATTGTGTGGAAAATGAACCCCCAAAAGGCTTCCCTGAGATAACTTAAGCCATAGTAGTTATTTCAGCTCTTGTTTCAGTGAGTCTAGAAAAGGGAAATATTGGCTGACAGTAAAACTGAATGATATCTTTAGGAGCTAGACAATGCTAGGATCTATTGGGGGGAAAAAGAAGAAAGAAACAAATTACCTATATTAGCAATGAAAGAGAAGATGTTACTAGAAACTCTTCAGAAATTGAAAAGGATAAAGAGGAAGTACTAAAAACAATTTTGATGCAAGTAAATTTGACAAGCCAGGTGAAATAGACAAATTCCTTGAAAGACAAATTATGAAAACTAACCCAAGAAGAGATAGAAAACTTGAACAACCCTATGCTAATTTAAAAAATAAGTTCATAATTGAAAACCATAAGCCAAGCTGGATTCATTGGCAAACTATAGCAAGCATTTAAGGACAAAATAATGCCAATTCTACATAAACTCAGAAAATAGAGGAGGGACCACTTCCTAAATCATTTTATGAGAGAATGCCTGCCTATCAGTCTGGTTCTTCTGGCAAAGCCATTTTGCAGTTTTTAAATTATTTCCAATTGATACAAATATAATTATAGTTTTTGGAGTGTCTGCTATGGACAGGAACTTTGCACATATTTATTTGTGTTTTTCATACATTCTGTGTAATCCTCACCGAAACTGGAAGAAAATGATGGTGGTTATATGTTAGCTCACATTGCTTTCTCCCCAGGCTTTTAATGGATTGAAAACAGATACAAAGGCCAGGCACGGTGGTGTATGCCTGTAATCCCAAGTACTCAGAAGGCTGAGAGAGGAGGATCAAAAGTTCAAGGGCCAGCCTGGGCAATTTAGTGAGACCTTGTCTGAAAATTTTAAAAGGGGCTGGGTTGTAGCTCAGTGGTAAAGTGCCCCTGTGTTCATGCGAAAAAAAAAGGAAGGAAGAAAGAGGGTGTGAGGGAAAGAAAAGAGACACAAGGAATTAACTCATGATTAAAAATCAATTTATTATCTAAAGTCTCTGATTAACCTGTGTTGTACATAGCTTAGTCGTTAATAACAGATCTCCTTACAGCCATTTCAAGAATTGAAGACAGATGCCATTTAGCCACTGGCTTGGTCATAGCCACAGGTAGAGAGGCTAAAATGCAGAGATTATAGAATTGCTGAGACTGCCAGAGGCTGCCTCTTTTGCTCACAGCATGAAGGCTTGAGGAGCAGGAATGATTCCCCACCTTGTACAACAGGGTTAAGTCATTTTCTCCTTTCATAGGTCAATTGACTCTGCCTTACTACATCACCTTCAGGGTGGAAAAAAGAGTTGGGAGAGGAATGGAATAGAAGTCCTCTTTCTACTATGGGTACTTGAGGAGCAGGAGGCTGTGGGTTTCTGCACATCAGTCCAAAACACATTTGTGCACTCACATGTAGCATCCATCATTTCACTGATGATGAAACTGAACTCAGAATGATTAATGGTGCAGATGAGGTTACTTAGATGGTATGGGACTGAGTCAGGGTTATGTCCTCTCTGTCCGACTCCAGGGCCCAAGGTCTTCCTTTGTGCTGCACTGCCTCTGGATTTAAATTTTCTAATAAAACAAACCATATCATTTTTCTGACTTCATCTACGAGGTTGCCAAAATCATCTGAAACTGCATGTCACTTGTTGACACCTAATGAATAGGAGATGGTTATTATGAGTATAAATAATGTTATTCTTCACCTAAATGGAAATTCTTCTTCAGATCAAATGGGTGATGAATAATTTGGTATTTTAAATAACTAATCTTAATGTATAATCAAAATAATAGTCACTTTAAAATGATACCAAATCATGGGTTGTGAAAGCCACTCATATGCTTGAAAAACACTTTATTTTTGCAGAACCTTCTCTTCATCAGCCCTATTTTCTCAAAAGGAAAACAAATAACAGGCTGTGCCAGTTCCCAGTCAAAGTTGTTTTTGACATGCTAGTTTTTTGGATTATCAAATATTAGTCACTTTCTTTTTTAAATAGACCTCATAAAGGTACTTAAATAGTTGGTTTTTGCTATGGTTGCCACCTCTGATTAAGCCTATTATCAAATAAATGTGTAGTAAATATTTTACCATTTAATTGATGCTTTGTAAAAGGATACATGGAGACCATTTAACCTATGCACATATAGTCCTCAGGCAGACAAGGCTTTTTTTCTGACTTGAAAAAGGTTACCATTGGAATTAGCTTTGGTTTTTGTGCCACCCCTCACAGTTTGCTTACACGGCATTGGATGGTAAAGAATACATTTATGAAAGCCTTCATTTTTGGTGAACTGCCCCCACCAAACACTGCACACATATGCACATGCGCATGTGCGCGCACACACACACACACACACACACACACCCCGTCCCCCACTTCCTTTCTCCATCCCTCTCATGGGTGCAGGTACAAGTTATGTAAAACATATCAGTGGGAAATGGGAGAAGGTAGGGTTTCCGAAGGAGTATAAATATAAGGCTTAATGGGAATCAGGTGGATTTTTACCAACAAAAATCTTCTTGAAGGCTTTACCAATGCATGCCACCATCTCCTTTGTCACTTTTGGCCATTTGGTATATAGTAGGGGAGACTCTGTTCCATCTTATCTGTATTATAGCCCAATAGGAATAGGATGAAAGATGTAGCATTTCATTCCACACCCCCTGTACTTTCTCCCCTAGAGAGAAGTGGTCAGAATTGAGGAGTTCAGTAGCAGAGCAGCTTATGCAGTGAGAACACGACGAACTGGGGTCTGAGGACTGGCTCTCCAATTTGGAGCTGTGATTTGGTGGATATATGACTTTAGGAAACTCATGTCATGCCTATGAGCCTTATGTTTCTTTCATATAAGATGGTTCAAATAATAATTTCATACTAGGGCATTATGAGAATTGAATGTTCTAATGTATGTGAAAGTACTTCGAGAACTGTGAAGTACACATTTAAATACTAGATCTATTACAGAAATAAGTGGCATATCTCTTCAAGGCACAGTAAAATTTTAGTTCATGTCAGCAGATATGAATGGAAGATGGATAATTTGTGTGTGTGTGTGTGTGTGTGTGTGTGTGTGTGTGTGTTTCTAGAATATATTATGAATGTATTTTTGGTGGTAGATTTGCATTTCTAATTTTGTGCTCTGGTTAATATCATGAATATGAATTTGTCTAATGCATATTCATACTAATCCTGGAGATGATTACCCAAAAGAAAGCTGAATTGCAAAGAAAGCACATCTGGGATTGAAATTTGTTCCTGGATACTTCTCATGGTCTCATGTCTTGTCCTTGATGCACTCCTAACACTTCCTCATTTAAGCCCTTAATGGAGTTTTTAAATGGAAGCAGGCTCATAGTTGTTGTTGTTTTAAAATCTGTTTTTAAAATGCTGGTGTATGAATGCATTAGCATCAAAACCATTAGGGACAATGAATTAAGAGGCAAACATAATGTGTTCATAATATGTCCAGGCAGCACCCTCATTTGGCAAGGCAAGTCCTTGAATAATTCTCTTCTGAGCAGATGGCTTAGGGACATTAGATGTTCTTTGTCATCTTCTTTGCAGCCCCAGATAGGGCCAAGTATTGGGGAAGGCCAAAGCCTAAGTCTTGGACTCTATCTGTGACACTGGCCAGAGGACACTGACAGCTCTTTGGTCCTATTTCATGGTGGCTGCGTGTTGTAGGTTGGGTTATTCTTCTTGTGCCCTGCTTTTCCTTGACATTGCTCAACTGGCATGTTGGGGATATGATGCCTTTAAAAAAATTAACGTGTTCCTGGCCTTTGTTTGATTAGGATTTAGTTCTGATTGTCAAATGAGAATAGCTTTTGCCTTGAGAAGAAAGAAACAGGGCTGACAGTCTCAAGAACAGGCATAACTTTTCCCATTATTAGAATTTTCCATGGGCCTAATGACATAAATGTGTGTGTGTGTGTGTGTGTGTGTGTGTGTGTGTGTGTGTATTTTAAGGTAAGTATTATGGTAAGTAGTAAATGTGCAGAAGCATTAAAGATTGCAGTTTCACCACTTCTTTCTGAATAATTGTTACATCTTATATTGTTATGGTTTTCTTCCTATATAAATTTACCCATCATAAATGCAGCCGTCTGTTTTCATTTCTCCACTTATGTCTCTATTGTCCCTCTTTCCAAAAACCCCCAAATCGATTCAAGTGTATATAAGGATATGTTTCAGGTCCCATGATAGATATTTAGGACTGTGTTTTCTGATCCTAAATTAAATAGAAAACTCCTTAGATGGTACTTTCCTACTTACTGATTTCGTACATATATCTGTGATGATCTCAGGTACCACCAGAACTGGAAGTAACTAGCTGCATCATGAAGCAGAATGATTTAGGTTAAAACTATAAAAATTATTGGTCTATTTATGCACATACATGCATAAATACATGCATATACACTTAACTAAATATAATAAGCTAGAATAGTTTTGTCTGAAGCTTTACTAAGTCTTTACTTGCTTGCTCAGCAATTAGCAATGCAGATGATATTTTAAAACTATGATGTTTAAGGCAAAATAGCATTATTCAGGAGTGAATTTAGTTGTTTGAAATAATGGAAGGAGTAAGTAGAGTTTCACTTTTTAAAATTTTTTAAATATGTTTTTAGTTGTTGATGGACTTTATTTTATTCATTTATTTATATGCAGTGCTGAGAATTGAACCCAGTGCCTCATACCTATGAGGCAAGCACTCTACCACTGAGCCATAACCCCAGCCCTGGAGTTTCATTTTTAAAGACTTCTAAATGTATTTCTTATGCTTGCTGTCAAACATAAAAATGTAATTCCTTTTTTTTTTTTTGATTTAGAGACACTTTTTCAGAAATCTTGGCTCTATTTTGGCCTATGCCTTCTTGGGGACTGCTGTTTCTTGCTTCATTATTGGGTAAGTGAATCTCTGTCATATAACCAAAGTGATATGCCTCCTAAAGAGATGAGATCCATTTGGGAACACAGAGCCCAGTAATTTAAAATAGTTTTATTTTTTTATGAACTTGTAAACAAAAAATCCCTCCCGTTCCAAAGTAAAAACAAAATTCTAGGTCACATGGAAGTTTACAATGATTACATTTATTTAGACAATATACATACATGTTTGGTTGTAAGATGTTAACTAGATTTCTGTAACAAATATGTTTTTTAATACCAAAAACATTAGAGACTTAATGAAGAATCCTAAGGATAACCTAGTAGTCACTAAGTTTTTCTTAAGTCTTTATTTTAGATGCTATTATAGCACAGGTAACCAGGCAGTCTTTCATATGTTCAAACACTGGAATCTTTGGCTGGTACCAGATCAGCTGAACTTGCAAATGGGAAGCCAACCATTTAAAGAAGGTTTTAAGTTAACAACTTACAAACCCCATGAATGGAAAAGCCCTAATTGAAAATTTATAGCTATCACAACTATGACTGATGATAGAGTCCAGTATTTTGATGTTTGTGACTGATGACAAGATTGAGAGCTACCCTATCAAGTATGGTAGTTGTTAGCCAGGTGTGACTATTTAAATTAAGACTAATTAAAATGAAATAAAATTGTGCCCAGTTCCCATATCTTGGTTTCTAATATCATTCTTTGATAAAAACAAAAAAAAAAGGCTTAGTCTAGGGCTAGGACAGGAGACATACATGAAAATGGAGCATCTTGTAATGCCTGAAAATAAAGAAGTACTCAAAAGTCAAACAGATAGACACAAGGATGTAGAGCATCTCAAAGGGATACAAGTGCTAGCTTGAAAGCTCCTATAATGGACAATCCCCTTTATGGCTGAAGAATAACAAAATCAATGATATTGTATTAGATTATCACCAAAATATGAAATATCCCTGAGTCCACGCTGATATAAATAAATGATTGGATGAATAAATAAATGGTTGAGAAGAGGCAAATCTATGCTGAATTCCAGATAATTTGTGTAGATACATCCCCTTCAAGCTACATTCCTCAACCCAACTTCACTTTAAGTGTGGGTGAGGAAAAAAGGGTAACTTTAAAAGTGAATAAAATGTGGAAGATAATATTTGAGTCAGAAGATCAAGGTCAACATCAATGATGATAAGTGATATGTACACTTGATGTTTGTGATAAAGGCACTTTTTTACCCTGCTCTTCTACCCTAGAATGCATCACCTTAGTCTAACCATGAAAAAAATCAGGTAAATCCCAGTTGAAATACACTCTACAAAATATCTGCCTAGTACTCCTCAGAACTGCCAAGGTCATCAGAAAACAAGCAATGTCTGAAAAACTGTGTCACATCCAAGAAGAGAAGAAAAAGATCTGATCATTAAATATCAAGTGGCAGCCTGGGTAGGGTCCTAGAGCAGAAAAGGGACATTAGGTAAAAACTAAGAAAATCTGAATATAGCAAGGACTTTGATTTTTTTAAAATTAGCTGGAAACCTGGAGATAAAGGTAGGGATCTTTTATTCTATCAAAAAAGGAGGGGCTTGGGTTTGTTCTTTAAGAGAGAACAAATTACTGAAGAGCCAACAGGTTACCTAATTGGCATTAATGACAGTGAGAGGCAAGATGGGGAAAAGGTATCTGAGAGAATTCTGCTGCCCAGGTCTAAGATTGTGGTGGGAAGAAATGCAGAGGAAGGTCTAGTTTAAGGAAATGTTTCAAAGGTACATGAAAGAAGCCTTTGATGAAAAACAAAGGGAAAATCAAATCTGCATCGTAGAGTTGCTATGACCTGAAATTGAAGTGGGTAAGTATCTGGAACTATGCCTGGCACACCCTAGGAAGCATTAAGTTATGGCTATTTCTTCTCATAAGGATCATATTCTGCAAATAGTTATTATGCTCTTTTCTTAGCCAATCACTTTTCTAGGCATCCAGGACACAAAGATAGGCAATGGCATGGTCCTTATTTTCATAGATCTCATTATTAGAAAGTTGGCTGTAGCATACAATGAGTTAATTACATGGTCATTTTTACTCCTAATCCCTGCAGGTATTGTTGTCACTGGTACTACTCCTCCAAACACACATGTAACACATACTAGGCCTTTTAAGTACTCCTCACTGTTCCCAATTTGTAAGCTGTCATATAGGAAATATGCTTTAGCCAAGCTGAAAAATTGAACTTGGTGATCCCTGCTGGACCACATCACATTCTGAACAATATAAGGAGGGCTACTGCTGGCCTGCTTAATCCAAGCAGAGCAAGAAGCCATACATGTTGATGGGAACACTGATGTAGTCTAGTAGGATATTTGGGGGATTTGCCTCTTTGACACAGAAGGCTGGGATAGTGATAGGCTGACCATTTGGATCTTTATGACCAATCCATTTTTTTTCTCTCCAAGTATATCCAACCCATTCTTTTTTTTTTTTTTTTTGATTCTGGGGAGTGAACCCAGGGATGCTTTACTACTGAGCCACACCCACAGTCTTATTTATATTTTTATTTTGAGACAAGGTCTTGCTAAGTTGCTCAGAGCCTCACTAAGTTGCTCAGAGCCTCGCTAAGTTGCTGAGACTACCATCGACCTTGCTCCCTTCCTGCCTCAACCTCCCATGTTGTTGGTATTACAGGCATGCACCACTGCGTCCAGCTCAACTCATTCATTTTCTATGACTTTAAATGCACTATGTTAGAATTCTGTGAGTTTTGTAGCAATTTATTATGCATTATGCCAGGCCCTATCTTTATCTTTCCCCTCTTATTACCTAGTTGCTTAAGATGCCTTAATTTTGTTGCAAATTTTCGACCATGCTTCATAGTTCTACAGTTTTTGTTAATCACAGCTTTATAAATGAAATAGTCATATGTTTCAGCAAGATGACATTAGCTGCAAACCATTACTGCCATAATTCTGTTTGCCCATGTTACTGGTAAATGTCTACCCATTGAAGGTACCTAATGCTTTTCTAAATCTCCCTTAAAATATTGTATTCTTGCGGGGTTAGGGTTGTGGCTCAGTGGTACAGTGCTTGCCTAGCATGCATGAGGTGCTGGGTTCAATCCTCAGCACCACATAAAAATAAAATAAAGCTATTGTGTCCCTATACAACTAAAAAATAATATTAAAATTTTAAAAAATATATTGTATTCTTAGTACCAATCCATTTACATTTTGTAAGTTTTTTTTTCTTACATAGTTTACCTTGCCTTCTTACAGAAATCTCATGTATGGTGTGGTGAAGCTCATGAAGATTGTGGGACAGCTCTCTGATAAGTTTTACTACACAGATTGTCTGTTTTTTGGAGCAATTATCTCTGCCACTGACCCAGGTATTTGTATATTTGGATTTATCATTATGAAACTCCATTATTTAACCTTAATTTTGGAACAGTCATTAACTTTTGTTGCAGTAGAGAGACTGTAGTATTAACAGAATGGTGGAGGAAGGGAATAGTAGGTAGGCCTAACAGACTGAGACTTTCTAGGAAGAGTATGCATTTACCTTTTTATTATTATTTTTGTAGTGATGAAATATATACAATATAACATTTACCACCACAATTATTTCTTCTTTTTCTCTGTGGTGATGGGGATAGAACCCAGGGCCTCATACATGCTAAGCAGAGCACTCCACCACTGAGCTACATTCCCAACCCCATCTTAATCATTTCTAAGTGTATATTTCAGTAGTATTAAGTGTATTCACATATTTGGGTAACCAGTCTTTAGAACTTTTTCATCATGTACAGTTGAAACTTTATATTCATTAAGCAACAAATCCCCTTGTCTCCTTACCTTGAGCCCTTGTCAATCATCATTCTACTTCCTGTCCCTATGAACTTCACTATTCTAGTTCTCTCATGTAAGTAGAATCATACAGTATTTGTCTTTTTGTGACTTTCTTGTTTCATTTAGCATAATGTCTTCAAGGTTTATCCATATGGTAGCATATAACAGATTTCCTTCCTTTTTAAGGCTGAAAATTTTTCTGCTGTATGGACAGACCATATTTTGCTTATCCATTCATCCGTCAGTGTACATTTTGATTGTTTCCACCTGTTTTGAGAATGATAAATTTGGACATAGTTTTTATTCTTAACTGTCTTCTACCTTCTTTTAGGTAGAAGGTTTAAGCAATACCTTTTGTTAGTAGAAACATACATTGGTAAATTTGTTCTTTTTAGTTTTACATGATAGTAGGATGTATTTTGACATTCATACATGGAGTGTAACTTCCCATTTTCTTGTGGTTGTACATGATGTGGTGTTATACTGGTGGTGTATTCATGTATGAAAATAGGAAAGTTATATCCATTTCATTCTTCTGTTTTTTCTATTCCCCCACCCTCATCTTGTGAACCTCCACTCCTCCCCACCGCCCCGTTATTGTGATTTAAATTATCAACTCCTTTTGTGCAATGCTCCTACATGGCCCCACACTGTGATGTGATTTCCTATTCATAAATTTCTTATCTTGTATTTTTTAGTTGAACCAGTTCTTAAAACTGGAATTATTATATGTCCCTCCTCCCCTGCAGCCCAAAAAACAATTTTTTAAAAAAATCTCTCTTCCAAATTGGAACCTATAATTAAATTTATTTGCATCAAGTAATTAAAAGCTATTCCTTTCACTAAAGTCAACTATTGTGAGAATAGTCTGCCCTCCATATGTCTGTGTCCAGCATCTGTGGAGTCAACCAACTGCAGATTAAAAATATTTTTTTTGAAATTGCATTTGTACGAACATGTAGACTTCTGTTTCTTGTCATTATTTTCTAAATAATATAGTATAACAACTATTTTCATAGCATTTACAGTGTATTAGGATTAGAAATCTAGAGACGATTTGAGGTATGTGGTCGAATGCATAGATTCAGTGCAAATACCACCCCATTTTATACAAGGAACTTGAGCATTCTCAGATTTTGGTATGCATGTAGAGGTACTAGAACTAATTTCTCTCAGATACTGAGGGCCAATTGTATATCTACAGGAGAGAATTTATGGAGAAAAAGCTGGTCCTGTCCAAATAGTGAAGATGGAAAGGTCTTCTCAAAGTATATGATGACCTCTAACATTCTGGACATTAATAACCTTAAAGATACTAAGATTTCCCAATTTCCCATTTGACCAGGTTTCTTGAGGGTCCTTTAGATCAGTGTTATCCAATTAGTCTTTCTGCAAAGATAGAAATGTTCTAAAATCTGCCCAGTCCATTATGGTAGCCATTTGCCACATACTGCTATTGGGTACTTGAAATATAGTATAGTACAACTGAAGAACTGATTAAATATCATTTAATGTTAAGCTAAATTAAGTAAGCACATGTGGCTAATGACAACCACATTGGACAACACGGCTCTAGACAATTGTGTGGTTCTAAAGAATTTCAATGTTCCAAAAAACTTTCACCTCTCTTGTCCTCAAAAGTTATCACAAATACCTTAAGTGAATTAGTATAGAAGATTTGGCTGACTGAAATCTTCTGGTTTGTGAGGTACTCTGGTTTGGGAAAAGAAGGTGGGATATTGAGTCACACGTATTGATTGGGTTGCATTCTAGCTGTGCCAGTCATGATCAGGTAGCTTGGGTCCACTTTTTCCTTTCCTATCAGACTCCTCATCTATAAAATAGAAATATTATGTTCTGTTTCCTGGGGCTGTTTTGATGATTAAGTGAAACAACACATGTAAAACACTTGGCATAGCCTTTGCTAATTATGTTGGCTACTAAACTGTACATCTGATTCATACAGAGGTTTCTGTTTCTCTTAACCCAAGCATGTTTCCAAAGAGCACTCCAAAAGGCAGCTTTGTTATTTTAATATTAGACTGTGTGACTATCTCTAAGTGTGTATCTATTGAGAAATATGTTCTTCTGAGAAGAGTTTAATCTGTCTGGAAATGTATTACTAATAATGTTTGTCTATAACTTTACTACTCACTTCTTACCAGTACTACCAACAAGTAAGGGGAGGTTAGTGTGACAAAGATTACTGATATCATTTTTCTGAGCTATTAGTGTTGCTTCATTTAATTGGATATTAAGGCTTATTTTTTCCAGATTATCTTCATAATTATTTACTTTCCCTTAATGTGCCTGTACTATGGTACAAAATAATGGAAGGCATTACCATGCAACATCATTTTTATTTTGCCTGGGAAGATTGGCACAGTAAGGGTTTTGTATAAATGAATGAAAGTTCTAGAAAATTGAAAGTTTAAACTTATTAGACATCAGCACATTAACTTTAAGTGCTTTTTAAATGGAAATCTTTCTGAAACGTAGAATGTTTTGTAAATGAAAAGTGTTTTACAACCCTTCTAAAAAGCTGTTGTTTGAAAACTTAGGCCATTAAGGAGATTAAAACTTCATTGCAGAGTTAGAGGGTGATACTGAAACCAGGCCTGTTTTGCCAATCATACAGTATACCAATCACTGAGACAACAGGTTCTGAAAAAGGGAGTTTATTTTCAGGCAGCCAAGCATGGAGATGAGAGCCCCAAGTCTCAAATCCACCTCTCTGCGGATAGGGTTTGGGGCTATTTATGGGATAAAGAATCAGGGTGATTTAAGGTGCAGGGAAAGGTGATTGGTGGTAAAGTCAGTTGTCTGTGCGTGCTTAATCCAGCTTCATGGTGACCCATCAGAAACCTGCACAATCCCAAGCGAAGAGTTGGTAGTTTCAACCAAAATGGCCTTCAAGTCCCTGAAAAGTAACTAGGGCATCTGTTGTCACTGTAACCCATACATTTGAGGTGTTATAGGTAGCAAAGCTAGGAGGAGGCTAATAATATAAAGCTTAGTTGGTGATCTTTAAGTGGCTCTTAAAATCAACTAAAGCAAGTAATCAAAGGATTGCACAGAAGCTCAGAGTCAGAGAAACAAAAAGCACAAAGAGTTGGTTAAAATATATGAAAAGAGACCAGCTGTTTGTTGGCTGGTAATTTTCAAAGTTAGGATTCTGTCCTCAGACTTGGGGACTGAGGTCTTATTCTTCTATTCATTCATAATGGCTCTCAGGTCCTTGAGAGATACTTCTGAGCTATAAAAGACATATATTTATAATAGTAAGCCCCAATTTTGGTAATGCCTAGAAGATTATGGCCCATCAAGCAAGAGCTTGGTTTAAAGGGGAACACAAAACTAGATTACCTTCTGGTGATGGGATATGGAGTGATAATAACCAATATGAAAAGCACAATTTGCCCCAATTATACCTACTTGCCTCAAATCACCAGTCTTTGGTTTTCCCGTTGAAGGTGACACTGTGTATGTGGGGTGATACAGGCTGCTTTGTGACCTAAAGCCCCCTCTGTTTTGTGGCCATGTGCCATGGGTATCATGTACCATCTTTGTGGATGGCTGCTCTATATGGACCCACAGCCAAGGAAAGAAAATGTGAGATTCTACCCCATAGTGCATCCATAGGCAGCTTCTAGAGAAAAATGAGTGCTATTCCTTTCTGTGAAACATTATCAAATGATTCCCCTGATTTTATTCCTTTCACTCTTGTAACCTTGGAGTCAATCAGCCTTGCAGGTTTCAAAATCTACAATCTGTATTGTCCAAGACTCTTTGGTTGCATCACCTTGGGTGGTGTCTTTTGCTTATCCTTTGACATTTGATTCCAATAAGCCACCTGCCTGCTCATTCTTCCCAGACTCCTTCAGTGATCTGCTCCCATAGCTCTTCAAGTTAAGTCTATTTTGTACATAATGATACTTACTGATCTACATTGAGTGTTCACAAATGCTACATGCTCTTTTATGAATAGATAAGGTGATCAAGAAAAGTTGGTTAAATAAACAAATTCAGTATTTAATGGTTTTCTTTTTAATTTATTTGCTATTCTGTCATTTTTCCTACTGCTTTTAAAATACATGCACCAATGGTTTTCAGTCCGCTAATTGTGATTTCTCAGTTCATATCCAGTTACACATAACTATTGACCCTGCTATTTCTGATTTCAAGGGTTCTGCTTAGAGGAGGGCCTATTGAATGCTGTATTAGTCAACTTTGCATTGCTATATTGAAATACCTGAGGACATTAGTGTTATAAACAGAAATGGTGTATTTAACTCATGTTTTGGAAGTTCAAGTCCAGGATCAATGGTCCCATTGGGTTGGGTCTCTGGTGAGGGTGCCAGATGGCAATGGTGAGAGTGCATGTCCAAGGGAGCAATCATCTCTCAAACCAGAGACACTGAGAGACCAGGGTCCCACAATCTCCTGAGGAGCATGTCCCCAATGACTCCCACTAGGTCCCACCACTTAAAGGTCCACAGCACCCCCTAATACTACCATCCTGGGAACCAAGCCTTTATAT